ATATATATATATATATATGCACACTTTTTGTGTATGAGTATATTGCCTGCATGTAGGTAAGTATGCTTGTGTCATGCAATGCCTATGGAAGTCAGAAGAGGGCATTGGATCCCTGGAAATGGAGTTAGCAATGGTTGTTTGCTGCCATGTGGGTGCTGGGAACCAAACTCCAGTCCTCTGCCAGAGCAGTCAGTGCTCTTGACCACTGAGCCATCTCTCCAGCCCCCATACATGTACTTCTATGGGTCTTCTCTGTTTTGAGAGAAGGTCTTACTGTATAATCAGACTGGTCTAGGACTCACTAAGTAGCCTAAGCTTATCTTGCCCTTGTAGTCCTCCTGCCTTGCCTTAGCCTCTCAAATGCTGGGATTATAGGCACATACCATACTTGTCTTGGGTCTTGTCTTTTTAGGTAAAATGGAAAGTAATCATTAGAGGTCTTTTAGAAAGTATGGCCTATCCTGAATTTAATTATACACAAAAAATACCCAACCTTGACTCTAAGTTTACTCAAGTCCAGTCTCTTACAACTTTTTAAAAACTGCTTATGTATTAATTTCTGGTTTAAACTTAATGGGGTTTTTGTTCATAGTATATTTTTTTAAACAGCAAATATCACTCAAAATCAGGAAAACACTTTTATTTTTACTTATTTAAGTGGTACTACTTAAATTAAAATGTTTATTTTATTCACATCTCTTAAAAACATATTTTTCATTGGCCTGAAAATAAAGGGTTCTCAAACCACAGCTGACATGGTTATATCTACTATTTCAAGTGTGAACCCTAGTAGTAGTTTTGGTCTAACTTCAAACAGACTGCATATTTGTATAATTATTTGTATGCTGTTGTTTATGTTCCCTGTTTTGGGGTAAGTTGGCAATCAGATCTAGCTGGAGTGTTTATAATTGGAACACAATGTTAAACAAAAAAGCAAATTGCTACTGATATTATAGAAACTCTGATAATATGTAACCTCTCATTAAAAAAAAATTCAGACTAGCTAAGCAGGTTCCCAGGGCACAGCCTGAAAGGATTCATGTCCCTTATGTCACCTATAATAACCTGGCTTCTCTGATTTAGGAGCCCCAGTGCCTGTTACGCTGCCTCTCTGCGGGGTGTTCTCCAGCCTCAGCACACCAGTGGCCCTGTGCTCAACCCCTCTTCAGAGGCTGCCAGATCGTGTGAAAAATGGATCTAACTTGGCTTTTTACCATGTTCTGAATAACATAGGAAAAGAGCAAAATCCTTGTTTGTGCCGATTTGAGAGAGCACTGTTTTGAACCAGCAAAACAACAGGACTTTCTGATTTGACTGTGGTTGCTTTGTTTTCTTTACAAGTTCTAGATGAGCATGGGAAAAATGTTACCATCTGTGTACCTGACTTTGGTCAAGACCTGTACAGAGATGAAAACTTGGTGACTGGGCTGGGCACTGCCCTCTTGATTGCATGCATCTTGTATTCATGGTAAGTCTTAGAAGTTATTTGAGGCCAACTTACAGGCTTTAAAATTACAGGGAAAGAATTTAAGTAGGTTTCAGCCCCTGCACAGCAGGAAAACAAATACTGTCCATGGAAGGAGAAAAATAGCTAAAAGTAGCAGGGTGGCACTGCTGCATGGACTGTACGTCTGTAAACATCATTGCATCATTTTATGGGGCAAATTAAATAAATGCATGGTTTGTTACAGCACTATTGACTAAAAAACAGTTGAATATTAGTTTCTACAGCATTCTTGAAGAGCAAGAGAACACAAAGTGAGGATGATGTAGAATATGCCAGAATGTTCTGGCTTAACTCTAATTCAAGGAAAACAGCATTTGTTCTGTTATTGATGGAAAGGGAACAGAGCTGCCTACATGGCTGTGCCTTCATGGTCAGTAGGCAGGAAGTGTCCCTCCTCTCATGTACTGTGAAGTAGGTGAGGCAACCCCTCCCAAGCTGTTCAGAGGCCTGCAGTAGAGGCGACTCTACCTTTAAAAAGCTTCAAAGATTGCTGGAGAGAGTCAAGAGTAGAAATGGTTAGGTACCTATTCTAGGCACATATTCCACTGATAATTGAGCTTCCTTTGATAGTAGCCTTTCCAGTCATGTTTGACTTCAGTATGTATTATGTTTTGTTATGTTTCTCTGTGTTAGAAATTCAACTTATCATGTGCACATGATAATCTTCCTTTTGCTAGAGCTGAACCATACCTATGGCAACAGCTCATATGAATGTCTTTCTGAGTATGTTACCACTCTCTCTCATAACTCTTGCTGAAAGGAAGGGGCCAAGCGAAGGCATAGACGTTTCGGAGTCTGTTTGCTCAGATCTGTGTCCCAGCCGGAAAATGCTTGCTTATGTTGTGAGTGGTTAAAGTGATGATGGTGTAACACCAATGATCAGTCTGCCTGTGCCATGGTGACAGTCATTTGTTACATTAGAAAGGTGGCCGCTTCCGGCCTTGAATTATTATTAATTCCATAAATTTTCTACTGAGTACCTGCTATACTGAAAGAGTAAGGCTGGGGAAATGTTTCAGTTGGTAAACAGCTTGCCATGCAAGCATGAGGACCCAAGTTTGAACCCCAGCACCCATGAAGAAACTGGACTTGGTGGCACACACTTTTAATCCAAGTGCTGGGGTGTGGAGACAGGAGGATCCCAACTTGTTGTTCAGGCAGTCTAGCCAAAAAGTGAGCTCCAGTTCAGTGAGAGGCCCTCTTTCAATAAAGATAAGATGGAGAGAGATTGAGGAAGACATCCAATATTTGCCTCTGACTTTTACATGCTAACACATGTATAAACATGTGCATACATATGTGTGTACACACATACAAAATGTATAAAATGAAAACAGAGGATTCAAGTCAATGATCATTTTCAGTGAACCCATAAAACTACCAAGATTTTGCATAGTGATTCTTAGCTTTTCCTTTCTCGAGCTTTTCTTTCCTTCCAGAGTTTGTTATTATTGGCCTTTTGGGGGAAATGGTTACAACAGAGCATGTACAGAGTGTGTTTTCTCACTCAGTCATTTTCCCTGTTGGCATGTGAGAACGTTGGTGGTTCAAGGGAGAGCTAGGTTACTAAGCTGCATATAGCTCATTCCCCTTTAAAAATTAAATACACACATACATACACATATATCATGAAGAGACAGACCAAACTTGTGGCAGTAGCAGTAGGTATAACTAATATCCTCCCTCCTCCCCCTTTCTTTGCAGTAAGTTAAAAAAAAGCATTTTCTTTTTGTCATTTTTGTATTGTTAGTAGAAACTATAAAGTTATTTAACAGAATAAAGGTGGGGGTTTTTGGGGGGTTTTTTGTTGTTGTTTTTTTACTGGATATCCAGTAGAAGCTGAACAAAGTTTGTTTGTGCTGGGCATGGTGGCACATGCCTCTAATACCAGCACTTGGGAGGCAGAGGCAGGCTGATCTCTGTGAGTTCAAGGTCAGCCTGGTCTACATGGTAAGTTCCAGGTCAGCTGGGACTACAGGGAGACCCTGTCTCAAAAAGACCAATAAATAAACAAACAAACAAACAAACAAGAAGGAAAGAGAAAGAAAAGAAAAAAGTGTATTTGCTTCTTAGCACAGAGTTTGGATTTGCTATAACCATTTGCTATAAGTGGAAAAAATGAACAAATTCTACTCAGTATACTGAGCAGATGATAGTTGTGGGGGTATCTCACAGTATGCAGTTTTCCCCCATCAATTTCACTGTTTCAGCAATTGCAAAGAATTGCTTTTAGAGCTGGATATGCTAGTGCATGACTGTAATCTCAGCTACACAGGAGGTTGAGGCAGGAGAGGATTATAAGTTTGAGGCCAGCCTAAACAATTTAGCAAAACCCTATCTCTCTAAAAAATGTCACTTTTAGGACTGGAGTTGTGGATCAGTGGCAGAATGTTTTCCTAACCTTTGGGAGGACCTAGGTTTGAAACCTGTTACTACCACCCCAACCCCCCATCACTTTTCAATATTGGGTTTAGTGTAGTGGTAGTGAATTTGCCTGCCATTCTTCCATGTTTGAAACCCTACATTTGATCCTCATTGAAAAAAAGGAAGAACAAAAGGTAACTTTTGTGAGAGATGGTCTCCTTCAGAATTGAGGCATCACAATGGAGGTTGGCGAAGAGCAGTCTGATATTTCCAAAAGATGCAATTTTCAAAGCTGACAGCTGCTATTTAGAAATCTGTTTAAATGCCAACAGCAAATGTCGTTAAGCTCCAGGCTGTAGTGGCTAGTGGAACGAGAAGACACAAAGCAGTGCTTGTACAGACTGCATGAGAATATCTAGTCTGCCCTATTCATGTTTCTGTAACACATAGCCGATGTGGTGAGCACACTCCCAGGAGCTGGCGAAACACCTCGTGGGGTCTGGTGATGGATGCTGTGTGCAGTCCCTGGATAGTTAGCTTCCAGAAGGTTATAAGCAAACTGGCTTCAAGATCACAGGGGACTGGTTTCAGACTTGATAGGGCCTTGAGGACAGGACGTGCTGCTACGGGAGTCACCAGTCCAATCAGGGATTTTTCCAATCTTCCCAGAGTTTACATTGCCCTCCCTGGTGAAGAAGAATGAGAGGTTAGAGAATCCTCTTGAACGGTGCCACACTGTCTGGGCAGAAGCTGCCGTTTGAACACTATTGTAGGAGTGAATAGAATTCTTGGTAGAAATTGAACAAGATAGAACACTGGGGAGTATGCAGATTTAAAGAGAGTAACTCACCAGTGCTGAACACAAAACCCAGATTGTCTTGGGGTTACTTTTTGTAACCTTGGCCCACATAGTTCCTCTCACTTCTATGGGGTCTCCCTATCTCACCTCAACACACTTCTAAGGGTGTCTTTGTCCTGAGTCCTGTTGCCTGGGTACTTGAGACCAATTTTTACTGTGTTGTCTTGTCTAAAACTTGCTTACTAGGCTGTGGTCTCTGCAGAACCGCTGCCTGACACTAATAGGTTACTTCCAAAGGAGTGTCCCAGTTGGGCTCCAGGAAGGCCTTCACATTGGCCCACTTGCCAGAGTTCCCTGATGGTTTTCTCTGTCCATCCCTCCCCATCTCCTCCTGAAACCTTGCTATGGGAAGCCCCAGCCTCCACTGATGATTCTTTAACTCATTTCTTGGTCTCCAGATTTTGATTGAGGCTGTTATTCTGTTGGTTTCAAGCTGAAGTTATCAGGCTGGATAGGATCCTAAAGTCCTTTGTATTTATAAGGAATGGAGTCTGTTCCTATAGCTTTCTACCTCAATTTCAGGAAACTTGGCCTTAGCCTCCTTTGCTGGAGTATTTGCAGAGACTGCTTGCTGGTTACAGTAGTTACTGTTTTCATTATCACTGTGACAAACACCTGACCACAAAACCTTAAGGGAAGAGAGATATTTTAGCTCATGGTTTCAGAGGGCTTCAGTCTGTCATAGCTGGAAAGGTATGGTGGAACAGTTTAGTCTGTGGTGGCGGGAGCATGGGTGGAGCTGTTCACATCACAGTGACAGGAAATAGGCAAAGATGACATCCCCTCAGGATGTGCTTCCAGTCTTCCTCAACCTAGAGATGCCTTTTGCTGGATAACTTGTGGAATTAGAATATTGGGAAGCATTTGTCCTATGAAATGTCACCTGGCAGTTTTAGTTTTAGTTATAGTTAAGAGGAAAATAACTCTTTAGTATTTAAATGGCTAAAAAAAATGCTCATTGAATATAAAAGTGGAAAGCCAAGAGTCTGTATTAAGTGTTAAATAACTTCATGGTTCAAAATGTGATGTTCACAGCAATACGGCAAGCCACATGGAAGAAGTTACTGTGATGTCATTGTAAAGAAGGTTGGCTCAAGCTGAGAACAACTAGTAAACTGAGGAGAAGTATTCTTTTGGTCTGTTCTAGGCCTGGTACTTTTATTTTAGAAAAAGTAAATGAGTGGTGGTTTGCTTTTTTAATTTGGGAATCCTTGACAGTTAAGCTCTTCATGTCTCTGCTGCAGGGCCATGGGTTGGCCTCCTCCAGCTCACACAGAATTCTGCTCTCCATTGGTAGCCATGAGTCATTAATTCCATAGTACTGTGGGAACATGATTGAACTTCATCACACAAAGGCTGGGAGTAGGCATCAGGTATGTCCTGGCCCATTCTATAAATTCTCCAGGGCAAGCACAGAATTCTGTGATCTGTGAAAGCAAAACCTAAAATTTTCTTTAGAGGTTTTCTGGGGGACTTTGGCCACCTCTAGAATCAGCTGAAACAGGTGTTAAGAGGTCCTGGACTATATTTGTTAGCTGATATAGCAGAAGTTTGGGGTTCTGCAGTGGTTTCTGGAGAGGAGGGGGGAAAGGCAATGTTTTGAGGTATGTCTAAATGATGCCAAGGGACTTAGGCATCTGGGGGTGGGATTCAGGGACAGTAAACAAGTTATGTTGCATTAACTGTTCTCTGAATGGTGAAAAATTGCCTCAGGTGCTGTTATCTCCCTTCTCCACCCTTGTTCCCACAGTATGTGGTGGCTCACATCTGTAATCCCAGCACTCAGAGGGTAGGAGGTTTGCTACAAGTTCAAAGCTAGTCTGGACTACATAGTAAGTTTCAGGCTGGCAAGGGCTGCCTAGCAAGACCTTGCCTCAAAAAGAAATAAATGAATGAAGAAATGGCTAGGGAGCTGGTTCAGTGAGCAAAGCACATACCACGCAAATATGAGGACCTGAGTTTTAATACCCTGAACCCATGTGAAACTGGATGCGATAGCCTGTAGCATCTGTAATCCCAGTGTTCCTCTAATGAGATGGGAGGCAGAGACCTGAGTATCCCCAGAAGTTTGTGAACTATCTAGCCTGGCATGTGCAGAGGCAACAACGAAATCTTATCTCAAACAGGTGGTAGGTGAAGACTGATGTTGTCCTCTGACCTTCATTTGCGCATGTGCGCGAGTATATACATACATACATACATACACACACACACACACACACACACACACACACACACACACACACGCACATGCAGGGGCAGGGGAGATACTTCTGGGCTCAAAGAGCTTGCAAAACCATTATTTCCCTAACAATTTCCAAGAGTTTTTTGGGGAAAGACTATAACTGAACAAAGGCCCTTCATCATGGTCACATCTACACATGGAAGATGAATGGCCCTAAGGAAGAACTGGATGTAAATAGTTCAAGAAGTAAAAATAAAGCCTTCCTGTTTTGCTACTATCTGACAGTGGGAATGAGGTGGCAAAGGTGCTTGAATCAAAAGTTGTATCTTTTTGAAACTACCTTGTACCAAAGAATTTATGAACACTTTTAAAGAAGGTTCTTAATTTTTCAGATGATAGCTTCGGATTCTAATCTCACACTAAAATTAAAAGTTGGGTTTCCCCACAGAAACTTCCCATTATATTAAGGCATAATTGGTCTCCAAAAGTCTAAGTGCATGAGCACATGTGTGTATTCCCAGTGCCTGGCTGGCCATTGGGAAACATTTTGTCATTCATGACCAAGTTCCTAGGTAGGACATGGAGCAGAGCAGCCATTGAATATGTTCTGTCTCTTCAAAGCAGATTGAAACGGGGGTCCATTCCACTGGGCTGCAGGAGCAGCAAAGTGTGCGTGTCCTGGGGTCCTCTTTGCAACCCAGGCATTTTCTCATTTTTCTATAGCCCATTGAGAGGGCCCTGCTGCCTCCTGAGTTAATGTGGCAGACATGAGTCTTAATTCCTGCCTGTCCACTAGCACACCAGCTGCATGAGCAACAGTAGCATTACCTATCTTCTGGCAAGCTCCAGGACTGTGTGAGGCAGGATGGTTGCCCTTTTCACTGAAACGCCCTTGGCACTCAGAACAGGGCCTGTCAGATACTGAGGCCTTTAGGAAATACTGGCTGAATGAATCTAGAAAGTTAGACTAAATGTTGTATATGTTTCAGTTTGTCTAAAATGCTTCCCTGTTGGTTTTTTTTTTAAAGGAAAAAAGTATTTTTACCTTTGTAAGTCAAATTTTATGTGTCGTTTTTACCTTTCTCATGTAGTCCAGACGGATCTCAAACTTACTGTGTAGTCAAGGATGACCTTAAACTTCTGATCTTCCTGCCTCCCCTTTCATGAATTATAGGCACGCACAACCATACCCAGTGCATGTGGTGTTAGGGGATAAGCAAGGGCTTTGTGCATGCTAGGCAAGCACTCTATCAGCTGAGGTACATTGCCTAGACTTTTTTTTTTTAAATAGCTGATGGTTTCTCTGTTAATTTTCCAAAGGGAAACTTCATTCTGATACTAGCTCTTAAATGACGGTGACCTTTTATTTTTCTGTTGTTTCCTCCGGGCTCTTTCATAACTCTTTGATCCCCTCTAAGTGAGACTGACCAGAGAGAGACAGATAAAAGTTAAATCAGAATGTTATTCCAGCATTTGAAAGAGGAACAGCAAAACTCATGCTGAATACCAAGGAGATATCTTGTTTCTCTACCTGAAAACTCATCTTTGCATAAAATGTTCTAATGCAGTCTGCCTATAAAGATAACTGTGGAGTTAGCCAACAAGTTTGGGAAGAATGGGATATTACAATAAATTGTGTTTGTCACTCAGTGTCTGGTGTGTGTGGTAGGGATTAGTTCCCAGATCCTCACTCCCCACAGCTACCAAATCAAGCCCCTTATATATAAAATGGTATAGGTAAGATTTTTTTATATAAGACCTATGTACCTCCTCCATATACTTGTAATACCTGCTATAATCTAAGAGCTATAGAGGTAGTTCTTAAACTGTATTTAGGAACAAGAAAAAGGGGGGGGGAAGATATGTTCATGTTCAGTACAGATACACCCCCTGCCCACCTGTATTAGTCACTTTTCAGTTGCTGTGATAGAAACACGGACCCAAGCAATTTACAGAAGGAAGAGTTTATTTGAACTTAAGGTTTCGGGGGAATTACAGTCCGTCATGGTAGGTAGCCATAGTGGCTGGAGGTGGCTGGAGCAGGAACAGCAGAAGCTAAGCTCTCACATCATCACACAGGCACAGGAAGCTAGAGAGAAACTGGAGATCTAGCAAGGCTTAAGAATTTTCTAAGCTCACCCCCAGTGACGTGCTTCCTCCAGGATAGCCACATCTTCTAAAACCTCCTGAAACAGCACCATCATCTGGGGACAAAATGTCCAAATACTTGGAGCCTGTGGGGGACATTTTCATTCAAACCATCACACCACCAAAATATTTTTTTAGCTAAAGTTAAATCCACAAAGACGGGGGCAAACGTACTTCATTCACACAGCCAGAGCTGAGGTTTAGTGAGCCTGGCACTGGGGCCTGGGCAGGCAGTTTCCCCTTCATTCCATATAATAACTTGTCATTGTACCCTGCTGACTCTTCCTTTGTTTCTTAGTTTGACATCAACAACCAGATCAAGTTCAGATGCTCTGCAGGGGCGATATGCAGCTCCAGAACTGGAAGTAAGTTTGTTTCCTTTTCCTGTCTGGGTTCAGCCCAAAACCCATTTCTCAGGAGGGCCCTTTTGTGTTGACATCTTTATTAATTACCTTTCCATAATCCCATTTTGCTGCCCAAGAAAGAATGATTTTTTTTGTATAGAAAATCAACTGTTGCCCATATGTTAAAATGAAACAATTGTTGCTTTTCTTCTAACAATGTTGGTTGGCATCCTGTGGTTCACCCCCTACCTGAGGCTTGGGGTACTTTGTTAAGCTGTCCCTTTTGCACTCTCTGGTTGTGATAGAGGACGGGTTCTACTCTTGCCTGTTTGTTCTCATCTTTGGCCTCCATATGCAACATAACTGTATGGTTATGTAATAGCTGTTCTGAAGGAGGAAAGAAAGACAGGAAAGGGAGGGAATGCTGGGAATGCTAGGTATGCTGACACCTGCAACTGCAGCAGCTCCACTGCGTGGCTGTATCAGTCAGTAAAGAAGTAGGAACTGTGAGTACCCTGCCGAGGCCATTTCCCTGCAAGGCAAGGATCAAGGAAATCAGCAAGATATCTGTTATTTTCGTCCAGTGTAGAAGTCTTTTTCTAGAGCTCTTTTTAAAAAATATTTTTTAATTTTATGTATATGAGTATATTGTCTGCGTGTGTATAAATACACCCATATCTTGCAGTGGCCACAGAGGTCAGAAGAAGGCATTGGATCCCTTGGAACTGGAGTTATAGATAGTGGTCAGCTGCTATGTGGGTGCTGGGATCTGAACCCAGGTCCTCTTCTAGAGCAGCCAGTACTCTCAACCACTGAGCCATCTCTCCAGCCCCATCTTTTTCCTGGAGCTTTTGATAGAACATTTGGCTTAACCAGAAAAGTGAAACAATTAGGACAAGACTCAGCCCTGACCCCAAGATTAACGTGATCTGGGTTCCGATGATAGCTAGCACACATAGCACTTGCCAGGTGCCAGGTTCTGTTCTAAGCTTTCCATGTGTTGTTTCATTTAGTCCTCATAAAATCTAGGGAGGGGCTCTTCTTTCCATTTTACAGAAGGGAAAACAGAACCACCATTTTCCAGGATGTGGGCCCAGGGTATGTGTTCCTGACTGCTCACTGCCAAGGAGCACAGCTGTTTCCCCTGGTCCATGTGGCCAGCCTTCCCTGGCATCTAGCCACTGGCTGCATTCCAACAGCATTTTCTGGATGGACAAACTCTGGTGTCTGTCCAGATATGGACACTTTGCTTGTAGCTGGCTGTCTAGGGATGCTCTTTCCAGTACCTGACCTGGAGATAGTGGACCATTATGAAGGCTTGTCACTCTGCCAGCATCATTCACCAGCTTTCTGTCACTTAAAGAAAAAAGCTGTGCTGGGTCTGAATAGGTTGCTGCTGCTGGTTACGCAGAGGAGAATGGTCTCCCAAAGCAGCTGTTTGTTCTCACCACTAACTAGATGGCCACCTGCTAAGGGCTGACCTTTATGGTTTCAATGGCACTATTGTGTGCAGAGTTCAAGCTCAAAGAGCAGCAAGTCTCTAGATTAGATTTGAGAAAGGATGTTCTCATTTGGGGGGAGGCTGCCCACTGCCCACTGCTGCTTCTGTCTGAGTGGATGGATTTGTGCTCCTGCATCATGTTTCATGGGATACACCTTTGAAAGAGGGAGCTGGTATTTTCTCATGGTAACTTAAGCTTCAAAAGAACTAGGACCACAGCATGAAAACTGTAAGCCCACTGGATTAGTGAATTATAGACCATGTCACGTGATCTAAATCTTCTTGCCAGGCAGGAGGGAGACAAGGGCTTGGCCTTGAGTGGAACACATGGGACGAAGGCTGACCCCTGGCTCTCTGGGTGTTTGTGGTTCAAATGTCTTCCACCAGGAAGTATCAAGGACTCTGCTTCCTAGACTGCCGTGGTACATGCAATGCTTCTTACTCTGTTTATCAGTTCCACACTCATGCAGTAATTTTTCATAATTTTTTTTATTTTCTTTGAGTTTGTTGTTTTGAACAAGTAAGAAATAGTATCTGGAATTTGAAAGGTACTAAAGAGGCAGGCATCTTACCCATCTGTGTCCACAGCCAGCTCAGCAGCCTGATTTGTTTTTGTTGGTTTTGTTTTGTTTTATGGGAAAGGGTCCCACTATGTAACCCAGGCTAGCATGGACCTTGCTATATAGCCCTGGCTGGCTTGAACCCACTGTGTCACCGAGGTTAGCCTTGAATTCACTATGTTACTCAGGCTGACCTTGATCTCAGAACCCTTCTGCCTCTATCTCTGGAGTTCTGGGACAGGAATGCAGTACCATGCCTGGTTCTATAGCCTGACTTTAATCAAAGCTGTGAGGAAGCCTTGTCCCAAGATTTCTTAGCATTCTCATTTCACACCCATTCAACATCAGTCCTATATACAATACGCATGCCACTTACTGTGAATCATGGATTGTGAGGTCTCCATTCTGCATATGTGTCTCAGCTCTGTCATTGAGCTAGTTTGGTGGTTTCAGGCTAGCTGTTTAAGTTGCCTGACCTCAGTGTCTTCAGCTGTGAATGTGATCCTAATACTAGCCTCAGAGACTAGAGAAGAATGGATAAGTAGCATGCAGAGCAGAGCACTGGAAAGGAGCATGAGGTGTGCATGCTTGTTTGTCTTGTTTGCTGTATGTTTCAGGCTAAGTCTTCTAGAAGTACAAACTGGGACAGAGTTTATCAGTTGGGTTATTTATTAAGGATCATCATATGTGGAACAGAAGAAGGGAGAGGGAGAGAGAAGAAGGAGGCAGAATTGGGCAGAAGATACTGTTGAAGGACAGTGCAGGCTAGACCAACCCTAGGATATGCTCCAGACCATATACATATCCCCATATGTACTTTGGCTGATTCTTTATATGCCTGCCCTGGTCATTCATTCAATGGAGATACCCAGGAAGGCCTTGCTGTAGAATGAAACCCTAAAGGAGCCAATGCACAGAGGCTCTGCTGCCAGAAGTCCTAGCGGCTGAAGTGAGCACCAGGCCTTGGAAAGGACCTGGGGTGGCATCCCCATGTCTATGGTATTCCCTGTTACCTATATTCAGTGCAACTGAGAAAGAAGAGATGCTAAATCAAACCTTTTGAAGGGCTAGAGTGTGCAGTTCAGAGGCTGGCATGTACTTCTAACAGACATATGGGTGGCTGCCAGTGCTGGGGGACATAAAAAGAGAAGACGGGTATCTGACTTGGTTGCCTTTGCTCTCATAGGTAGCCCGGTGTTGTTTTTGCTTCGGTTCAGATGGAGAGGGTAAGTGGAGCACTTCTGTTCAGGGCCTGGCTATGGCCTTGGAGACTGGTGGTGCTCTCTGTAAGCCTTTGAGATTTGGTACTGAGTTGAATGGAAAGGGGAAACTTTTGCTTCTAAAGCTGATTTACTATAAAAGTATATACTTTTCCCTTTCTTCCTCAAGGGTAGCTAGATTTTGTTTGTTTTGTTGGTATTCTGGCAGGCAAAAATCACTCTGTGTTCTGGTTCATATTTCAGTTAAATTATACAATGAGAGTTAGAAAAACACAATATGTATATTTTTTAAAGAAATGATATGGAGAATGCCAAGAGCCCCAATATCTCATTTGGGGACCATCTCTTTTCTTCATCTTGGAAGGGAGAGTCCCAGGGGCTGAAGAGCTCCGGAGCTGTGCTCACTTTCTCCTAAGCTTCTGTGCTCCATGTCTCTAAGGGTTCTCTTTCTTCGATCCCGCTAGAATAAACATGGCATTCACTAACTCATGTGGTCCAGGCAATTGGGGTGGCCGAGGGCACAGATGGCTTTTGATATCATTTTCTATTCAACAACCTGTGGAACCAAAATGAGTGAGTGGGGCACTGCTACAGTTGGGGGTGGGGGCTCACCACTGCCCCTGGGTGCCCTTCGCCATCTACAGATACTGAAGAGCAGCAGAATGTCAAAGAAGGGCCCCGGGTCATTTATGATGAGAAGAAAAGCACTGTCTACAGCTACGCCTATTTCCACTTCGTCTTCTTACTGGCTTCCCTCTACGTGATGATGACCGTGACCAACTGGTTCCAGTGAGTGGCCCATTTGAATCTTAAAAATCCTCTTACGTTACTGGTGGGAATGTAAAATGAAGCCACATTGGAAAATGGTTTGGCAGTTTCTTGGATGGTTAAACATAAGATTAGAGTATAATCTAGCAATTTTGCTCCTAAGTATGTATCTAAGACCAAAAAAAAATTTGTTCACAAATGCTCGTGTCAGAGTAATTCATAATAGCCAAAAAGTCATGAATAACTCAGATGTCCATAACTGATCAGTAGATAAACAAAGTGTGCTATGCTCATACAGTGAAATACTATTTAACAATAAAAAGGAATGGAGTGCCATGATGGCACACGCCTTTAATCCCAGTACTTGGGAGGCAGAGGCAGGTGGATCTCTGTGAGTTCAAGGCCAGCCTGGTCTATACTGTGAGTTCCAGGACAGCTGGGGCTAGGGAAACCCTGTATCAAGAAGACCAAAAAAAAAAAAAAAAAAACAGCACCAAAAAAAACCCAGAGTGGAGTACAGCTTGAGTATTCCTAATCCAGAAATCCAAAATGTTCTGAAATCTGACATGACAACCCAAAAATTTCCATTTCCAATTTTGGACTTGCTCAGCTGGTAACAGCTGTTCAAACATTCCAAAGTCTGAAAAACTCTAAAATCTGAAATACTTCTGGGCCAAGCATCTCAGATAAGGGCTACTTGACTAGTACTGATATATGGTGCAACATGAAAGAGCTTTGGAAACAATGTGCTACATTTAAAAAGCCAATCATAAGAAACCACATGATTGCATGGATTAGTTTTAAAAGGCAAATCTACAGAGGCAGGAAGTAGATGAAGGAACACAGGATGCCAGGGACAGTGGAAATGGGAGGGTAGCTAAAGGCTACAGGATGGCTGGGGAGAGGAGAATGTTCTAAAATTATTTGTGGTGATGGTTGCTTCAGTCTATGAATATTAAAAAGTCACCAAATGATACACTTGAAATGGAAAGAAAGTAAAGACTAGTGGGGTAGGAAGCATGCAGCCTTCCCTTCCTTGTCTTCCTGCTCTGACCACAACTGTGTCCTGTTTCCAACAGCTATGAAAGTGCCACTATTGAGACTTTCTTCAGCGGGAGCTGGTCCATCTTCTGGGTCAAGATGGTTTCCTGCTGGATGTGCGTGCTGCTATACCTGTGGACGCTGGTGGCTCCCCTCTGCTGTCCCTCCAGGCAGTTCTCAGTGTGAGGATGTCCACATGCCCTTTGGCTCAGCAGGCCTGCACCCCACGCTTTGAACATGTGCACTGGGGCTTTGAGCTGCAGCTGGTGCCCTGTGAGAAGCTGACAGCCCCTGGCTGTCTGTAAGTGGGTCTGACAAAGCTTTCAGGAATCAAAGACAAAATCTGATTAACTTCTTAATTCTAAAATCTAAAAGGAAACTACCAGTTTGACCTAAAGGAATTGGAATCTTCAACCAAGCTGATGGGGTGATACGTGCATTTTTATGTTCCGTCTTATCCCCAGAGATTAGCTAGTAGTTCTGTTGCTCTTTTCCTTGGATCAGAGCTTGGGTGCCCCAGCATCTTCAGCAGGGATGAAAATGACCTTGTGTAGCCTGTCATTCTCATCCTTGGTATAAGAAACCACAGCAAAAATATTGAGGCCCCAGCCCTGGAGTGGGTCTTCACTTCTGTCACTCACTTTTGCCTCCTGGAGCCTGCCTGGTGCCTCCTCCCCAGAGGGTCTCCACTCAGCTCCCAGCTCCCTGGTATTTGTAGGGTACAAGAGGAAGCGCCTCCTCTAAGTCCACCCTCAAAACTGCTTCCTCCCCCTCTCTGTGCCCCACCCCCCAGCCTTTTCCTTTGAGGTGGTGATGCTGGGAATCACAGCCTCTCTGCCCTTAGAAGAGGTCTTTTGGTCTTTCATCCGTTTCTGGGTTCAGCATCTTTGTAATAATGTGAAGAGCACAATTTGCTCTCACCTCCACAGGGTCCCCCCACCATGTTATCACTGCCCAAGCTGAGTCCTTGTTTATTTATGGTGGTGTTCACAGGATTCTAGAATAATTCTCATGTTTTCTTTGCCTGGGCATTGGAGGGCTAAAGTTCTTAATTGTTTGTGCTATTAATAGTGATGCTTTTAAGACCTTAGCAGCAAAGTTGCTTCTTGGCTGCAGCTTGCTGCCAGCCTCTTTTAAGTGATAAGATGAGCCTTCTGCTCCTCCTCCACCTTGAGGCCTTTGAAATTTTATAAACAGAAGAGCTTTTGCTTCCCCATTGTGGTATATCCCCCACTGGTACATGCTCATGGTCTCCTCAGAGGAGAAGGACTAAGGTGAAGATCCCAGGCAGCTTTCAACAGGGATCATTGGACAGATCTGCTGAACAAGCTGTGGAAATGATGAGGTACACTTAGAAGCAAAGGTGGGTAGCTGAGGGCATTTCATTAAACTATGGACAACATCCTCAGGAATTTTCATACAGATTCTTGGAAAGTAATGCTCACAAGGTATGCATTTTCAGTGCTGTGCTCAGTCTGACGGGGGAGGTTTACAGTGCAAAGTCTGTTACAGACACTAGTGGAGCTGCCCTGCTAGTTACATGCTCAGTAGAAAGAACCCTCTTGATCTTCCAGGAGGTCTCGGACTGGACATTTTTTCTGTGCGTGTCTGAACAAGTCAGGCAGAATTGGGATTTACCAAAGCCTGGTGCCCACATGTCAAAGTGCTGGGAGAATTAGTCAGATTCTTCATTTCTGCTCTTCTGCTGAAAATAGGAGGTGGAATGGATACAGGGCTTCCAGGGGTGAAGAATTTGCCTTATTTACAGTGTTTGAGATTCAGGCAGTTTTTTTTGTTGTTGTTTTGGTTTTCTTTTTAAGTTTTTGTTTTCTTTTTTGTGTGTGATTCAGTCTTAAGAGGCATTACTATGTGCCTGTGTTGATGCAAGAATGCCTTGTTTGTAAACTTCACATTTTTTTTTTGTAGTTCAGGAGTTCTTTGAACTGAGCAGTTCAAAGACACATCAGAATCACAAAAGGAATAGTTACACACTAACTCTGAGAAAGTCTTAAAACCAGTAGGAATGGGAGCCCAGTCAAGTGGAGCTGGTTCAGGACGTGGGGCACTGGGGGCCAGCTCCATGGTAGAGGCTACTGCTGTGTCTGAGGAGGGCCTGGGGGCCAGCAGCAGAGATCACCCTTAGGAAACACCACGAGAGGGGCAGAAACTCAGGTGGTAGTGGGTGCAGTGTTGTTTTCCTTCTGCTGTCCTTGATCCGTCTTCTAAGCTGAGGCTAGCAGCCAGGTGTGGTGACTTTAGAACTGGCCCTCACACCCAGTTAAGGTCAGACTGACAAGGTTCCATATTCCTGGACTGGCCTTTGTATCCCCCCTTTCCTTTCTAGAAAGCAGCTCAGGGAAACAGGACTGTGCCACCACGGCCCCTGTGGCTTCCTTCTTAGCCTGCCGGGCCCTGATTATTTTCTAACTGCCTAAGACTGGGCTTGTGGCATGCCACTATGGTATTCTAAAGATAGGTCTTGTGTCTTGTCTGGCACAAGAGGAAGAGTTTGGCCACTGATTTTTCACTCTCAGCCTACAGTGTTAGATGGATGGAAAGCAATTTTAATGATCAGCTATAAGAAACACTACTCAGGTGATATGCCAACATTGTGATGTTGGAACTTGAGAAACTGGAAAAAGTGCCAATTGCTTTGAGTTGTCCTAACAATGGTGTTAGTTTTCTTAATCCACTGAAAGCTTTAAAAAAAATAGCAGACCTTCATCTCCTACAACTACTTGTACCTGATTCTAAAAGTACATTACATTCCTAAAGCTGTCAGCTAAACCCTGTTAGTCATGACAGAGGAAGATTTTTAGAAACTGTTTCTATGTTTTCTCTGTCATACATCTTATATGGAAAGTTTTTCCCATGCATTATCATAAACGAAATGCTTAGGGAGGTGGGGGGTCGGGGAGGGTTCTCCCGCGATGTCTGAACTTAGACCCCATACCTGGCTGAAGACTAGAGACTGTTTCTGTCATTTGCCTTTGGAAAGCCTGCCACACTGTTATTGGTCGAGCTTTTGTGATATTGGTTTGGGTTTTGTTCTCACAGTTTCTTGGGAAGTTGGCACAGGAATTGTTTTACAGATTTAGGGAACTTTTTTATAGACTAGGTAGACTGTGGTAGGGAAAGGGTTGGAGAGAGGATGTGGTATTGAGACATGGGGTTCTGTATCCAGTGAGGAATGGCCAGCTGGAGTTCCCTGATGATGGTTTGTGTTTCCAGTTGCGTGGATGACCGACCTCAGTGTCTTCCCAGTTGTCAGCCTCTGCCTTTTCAAGATGATATGCTTTTTCAGTTTTTGCCAGATGGTTTACCATCATTGGTGCTTCATGCTGCCCTGTGAAGGAGCTCTAGAGCCTGTATTTAAACTTCTGGGGTATTTCTTCTCCCTTTATTGCCTTCCTAGGCACTCTCTTCTTTTGGTGTACCGGAATGTATGCCAGTATAGGATATATACTGTTAAGAAGTAAAAGAGGGCTTCTCCTATAACCAAGAAGGGTCTAGCATTGAACTATGACCCTCCACACCCAGAAAGGACACTGGGTCCATCAGAGACAGTGCACTTGTCCCCTTGACTCATGGAATTCTCTGAAGGATTTTTTCTGTAACTTGCTAGTAAACAGATTTTCATTTCCTGCAGAGATGAGCTATGTAGTGTTGGTGTGACTTCAGAAGACAGGAGATCTGTTCTCAAGGCCTTTAACTTTTTCTCTCTTTTTCACCTCCAAATGTTCACAGAGGCAAACATTTTGAAAGACTAAAATATTTGGCTTTTACCAAAGAGATATATTTGTTTGTTTATTTGTTTTTTAAAGCAAAATCCTTTCAGATAAACCAATTGGGGAAGGGCAGATTAGGAACATCTTCATTCAAATCTACTTCAGTGGAAATTTAATCATATTCATGTAAAATGATTGCAGAACTCTTTACGGTAACCCTTTGGGATAGTGAATCCTGGGAAATTCTCTCAGGTAAAGAAAGATCACAGCAGATGTGTAATATATGTCTTGAGAGCTATTTATAAAAGTTTTAAGACAATTGTTTTGTTTTCCTTTATTAAAGATTTAAACTTTTTTACTTTGCAAAGAAAAACTACAAAAATTTTTATAGTCATAACTTAATTTTTTTAAACTTTTTGGAAACAATTAACTGTAGCCAAATTTTGTGGTTACATTTTTGCTATATTAAAATTTGAATGCAATTCACGTGGTAAGTCTACTGTTTGATGTTTATAAAGGTCTGTGATATGGTTAGATTTTGCTAACTCT